GCCTGTGCGTGCGCGTGCCTTGCGCGCACATATGGGCACGGGCTGACAGACTGGAAAACATCCTCCCATTTCTCCCGTTCATCTAAGCCCACGGGGCCCTCATGTGCTCTGAGGAGACTCAAGTGCAAACAATTGTGGTGAAATGGGAGGATGCTGATAGCCAACCCCCTTGAAATATATGAGTGCATTCAAGTACCTCCCCGCAGTGATATTCTCCTCCAAATATCAGAGCAAGGAGAGGCAAGACCATTTGGGGTGAGGTTCCTATATTGGGATGCCTTTTATCAAAGCAAAGTTTCCACTCTCCTCTCCTGAAGAACACTCAGCACTCCCACAATAGCCTCAGAGTCCCAGCCAGAGACTTTGGAAGCCTTTTGTTTTTCCCCTGTGGCATGTCCAAAGGCACGGCCTTCCCTCCCCCTCCCAGCGGCCTGCATTGTCTTGCATTCCAGGGACTTGATTGACTGTTGCCACCTGATGCTGAGGAGATAACTCTAGGGTTCATTCTGCAGATTGTTGGGTTCTATTAAAAGAAACCTAGATAAGGGATTACTTGTCACTAAGGGATTTTCTGCAGATGTTTATTAGTGATTGGAAATCCATTAGGTGTGAAGAGGTACTGAAAAAATATGGGCAACACCATTCTCATAACCCTGAATTCGAAGATACCCCCCCAAAAAACATCAGAAAGGACTCCCCCGCCCCTTACTCTGTTAAATGGAGTTGGGGAAACTTTTCTGGCAGAGAGGTAAGGGTCTCTTTTTCATGGGTGATAGTTCTACCTGTGGATGGGATTCCTTGGCACTCAGCTCAGTTGCTACACATCAGTTTACCTCTCTGGAGCCACCAAAGAAAGATTAATTGCTCTAGTACTAGAGGATCTCATTATAACTTTCTTTTACCTAGCCCAATCCATTGCATGAGTATTGCCTCAAAGTAAGCAAGAAATTAGCAAACCATTTGCAAAGAATTCATCCCTTCCCAAACATAAACCAATAACCGTAGTCTCCTCTTGGGAATCTTTTGTGTCATTTGCACTTATTTTGAAGTTACTAGCTCTTCCGTGGTTTTTCTAAACCACAGATCCACAGCTTGTCAAGGTTTTGATGCCTCTTCTAAGTAGGACATTGCATTAAAAAAGAGCCAGCACGGTTTAATGGAAAGACACCTGGATAAGTTGTTTCACGTGAGTCTCTTCATCTCGTAATTTCTTCATCTCACAGAATCTGTTTCTTCATCTATGAAATGAGTTCTGAGATCTATTTCAAGTCTTTAAATTCTGTTTTCTATCCTTACTTTAAAATTCCTTTTTTGTTTCAGTATTTAGGGAGAAGGTAAGTGTGACTCTAGCGCAGGGTAGAACAAAGCAGAAGGCAGGGTCTCATTATGAACCGTTTATCAAAGATGATGCGAAAGAACTCTGTGAAGCATTGTGAGGGATACGCAGAATAGAAGCCAGGACTTCCTCTCTAAAGACATCTTATGATACATTCATTACATCTAGAAATAAGTAGGTGAAAAGGTAAATAACATCAAGACACAAATACAAAAGATGTTAAAGGACAGCCCAAGATTACTGCCAAAAGGAATGAATGTTTAAAACAGGATAAGACCCACTAAAATCCAGTAACCAGCATGGCGAATGATAAGGAATAACAGGGTGGAGGCTGCACGCGCCTCCAAAGAAATTACTTCGAGTTGCTCTCAGGCAAACCCTAGAACTACGCTTCTTCCCTCCTCCAGGGCTGATGCCGTTCTGGACGCACCTCCCTCCTCTGACTGTCTTAAACATCAGCCCTGCTCCCTTGGTCCCTGGCTCCCCAGATCTCTTGGGGGGTCCTTGGAGTGGGTGGGACTTCATCTGGAGCCGCTGCCATACCCTCTGTCCCTGCAGCTCTCCGCCAGGCCAGGCCGCATCCCCGAGTGTGCAAGGAACATAGATCCTCATCGTGGATCTGTTGCTAATGGGCAGGAAAACCACTGATGATGCTTCTGTAGCATTTGGCTAACAGCTCCCAAACCTAGTAGTTAGAGTGGGTAGTTGCACTGCATAACTGTTCTCCAGCCAGAATCCCTCTCTCAGTAATGCCCATTTGATAAAATGTGAAGGATCATCTTTGGGGAAGAGGGAGGAGTACTCAAAAGGGCTGCTTAATGACTTTTTTTTTTTTTTTTTTTTTGCGGTACGGGGGCCTCTCACCGTTGTGGCCTCTCCCGTTGCGGAGCACAGGCTCCGGACGCGCAGACTCAGCGGCCATGGCTCACGGGCCCAGCCGCTCCGCGGCATGTGGGATCCTCCCGGACCGGGGCACGAACCCGTGTCCCCTGCATCGGCAGGCGGACTCTCAACCACTGCGCCACCAGGGAAGGCCCTTTTTTTAAATTTCTTTTTATTTATTTATTTTTTGACTTTTTATTTAGTATAAGGTGACTAGGAGGGGTGATTGCTCTTCCAGGCCCTTCCCATCCCACAAATACTCATGTATGTGCAGGAGGTTGGGGAGAAAATCATCAAAGTTCAGTTGAAAATACAGATGAATTCTCAGCAGGGAATGGCCTTTGGGGTAGATGGGTTTGCACATCCATGGGGGACAAGGTGATGTTTCCATGATTTTCCAGGCAGTGGTGGGGACTGTGTCCTAAGAAACTAGCCAATATCTTTGGAAGGGGCTTCTCAAACTTCTCACTTGTTCTAGATTCTGATCAGCCCCAGATGGGGGTCCTTTTTTTCTGGGGTGTTATTAGGTTTCCTTCAAAGGACAAGTGACTTGCCATGGGATGCACTGAACTTCTTTGTCCAACTCCAAATATGTAAGACAGGGATGTCTGGTATCTTTTTCGTTTTCTTTAACAGTTACTATCATTATAAAAAGGTCCACTGCTCAAATTGAGAAAAGACATGGAGAAAGGGATCAAATGTGTTCAAAATGACAATCCCTCCCTTTTACTTCGGCGAGGGGCAAGTGTGAACGAAGATGAAAATATATACCTCTTGTATACGTGTAGACAGATCTGTCTACACATATAACTGCAGTGCATTTTACTTCCTCGTATGTCTGCACTTACTGTAAAAATAAAACATTATTAATGTATAAGTACCCCACTAAAAGAAATCTACAGAGTGTCAGTGTGTATTTGGAAAATTAGGAGTACATGGAATGATTCTGTGAATCCATTTCCTTGTTGTGGGGAAAGATAGGCCATGCTTTACCGTGTAACTTACAAAGAATACTGAATAAGTACATCAATAGCTATTCCTTTCCCTAGACAAGAGGTTAGACTATTAAATAAACCACTATTAATAAATAATTAATAAACAAACACAAAAAACACCCACATATATACTCACTGCTCTGGGAGAAAAGGATTAACAGATAGGGATTCTGAAAAGACTATTTGAAGAATGTTTATCTTAGAGTACAATGACTTTGAACGATTCCCTTAATCTCTCTGAGCCTCCATTTTCTCACTGTAAAATGGGGTTAATAATCACAGAGATGGGGGAATTGAATGACATAATTCACATTCAGTACATAACACAGTGCCTGACACATAATAAGCAGTCCAAAAATGTGGGGTTTTATTATTGCTATCAGCTGCATAAGTCACTCTCTCATGGAGCAATTCTAATCTCAAGGTAAAGTATTTTCCAATGTAGGATCTTAAGATTCAGTTCAAATTTTGTATTTTGGATTCAGTGTTAGTATCATTGTCTTACTCTTTTTTTGTACATAGAGGACAGGCATACCTCAGAGATATTGCAGGTTCCGTTCCAGACTACCGCAATAAAGCAAATGTCGCAATAGCGAGTCACGTAAATATTTTGATTTTCCAGTGCATATAAAAGTTATGTTTATGCTATATTGTAGTCTATCAAGTGTGCAATAGCATTATGTCTTAAAAAGTACATACCTTAATTAAAAATACTTAATTGCTGAGCTTCCCTGGTGGCGCAGTGGTTGAGAGTCCGCCTGCCGACGCAGGGGACACGGGTTCGTGCCCCGGTCCGGCAAGATCCCACGTGCCGCGGAGCGGCTGGGCCCGTGAGCCATGGCCGCTGAGCCTGCGCGTCCGGAGCCTGTGCTCCGCAACGGGAGAGGCCACAACAGTGAGAGGCCCGCGTACCGCAAAAAAAAAAACAAAAACTTAATTGCTAAAAATGCTAACCGTTATCTGAGCCTTGAGTTGCATCTTTTCGCAATAGTAACATCAAAGAGCACTGATCACAGATCACCATGACAAATATAATATTAATGAAAAAGTTTGAAATATTTCGAGAATTACCAAAACGTGACACAGAGACATGAAGTGAGCAGATACTGTTAGAAAAATGGCGCCAATAGACTTGCTGCACACAGGGCTGCCACAAACCTGCAATTTGTAAAAAACGCACTATGTAGGAAGCACAATAAAGTAAAGCAAAGCGCGATAAAGCAAGGTATGCCTGTACTTTATAGTGCAGATTATTTTAATATACAGTTTAACATCTGGGTCAACAATCCTCTGATACAAGCAGGAAACTAAGATTTTTGCTATCTTCATCTATAGTGTGGGTTTAGTTTAGTTTATATCAAAGGCCAATTATTATTCTACTTTTGAGAACACATTTTGTTTTCATAATGGAAATATGATTCAAATTCTGAACGATTAGGTGGCGACTTGCTTCTGGAATACACCTATTTAATGAAGTGAGGAATCCCAACAGTATGTCGCCTTTTTTCTACTCAGATATTCACAGTGGAATCCCAGTTTTTCAGTAGTTCTGCATGTATCCTTTGCACAAGTCTTTTTCTAAAACTCTATAAAGCTGTCAACCCCACATTACAATGCTACTATATATAACGACTTTACATAAGAGAATAGAGGCCGGCCATTTTTAGAAAATGCAGGTGCCATGTAAGCCCCTTTCTGAAAGAAAGAACTTAGCTCAATTTCCTTTGAAGAACTGGAGACTTGAAACTGAAAACTTTATTAATGCCATTGTCTCCTTGTATCAGCAGGTTCCAGAGAGATTCCTGGAAGTTGCGCAGATCACATTACGGGAGTTTTTCAATGCCATTATCGCAGGCAAAGATGTTGATCCTTCCTGGAAGAAGGCTATATACAAGGTCATCTGCAAGCTGGATAGTGAAGTCCCTGAGATTTTCAAATCCCCAAACTGCCTACAAGAGCTGCTTCATGAGTAGAAATTTCAACAACTCTTTTCGAATGTATGAATAGTAGCAGTCCCCTTTGGATGTCCAAGTTATCCGTGTCTAGATTTTGATTTTCATATATATGTGTATGGGAGGCATGGATGTGTTACAAAATCAGCTGGTAATCCCTCCTCATCATCTTTCTCTCATTTTCTTCTGTTTTCCATTGCAAGGGGATGGTTCTTTTCCTTCCGCCTTTAGTTTACTTTTGCCCAAGGCCCTTAACATTTGGAGACTTAAAATAGGGTTAATTTTCAGGGAAAAAGAATGTTGACGTGTGTAAAGTCTATATTAGCAAGGAAGGGCATTTTTAAAAGATGCTTCTGCTGGATTGATGGTTTATTGCGCATGGCGGTTGGCAGAGGGAGACCCGTGACACAGCACTACTCTGTAGTCAGTGATGTGTCTCTTGTTTTTACTGCTGAGAAGGTCAGAAAACTCAATGAAACCACTTGATAAACTTAAATATTTTGTTTGGTTTGAACTCAGTAAGTCGCTTTTTATCACACATTTAAAAATAATGCCAGTGGCAGATGAACAACTCACTTTTCACAAGTACCCCAAAAGGTCAAATTTTAAAAAGAAACATAATCACTAACCGTCAAGTCTTTCCTAAGAGAAATGGCAAACGCCACAAGCTAGTACCATTTTCTTTGGAGGCAAAGCAGTTTTGTACAAAACTGACTCTTTCAAAATGAGACTGGAAATTCATGTGATTTCTAGTCACCTCTCGAAATTTTGCAATAGGTTCTTCTTGGAAATAAGTGAGTATCTATCGTTCTTCATACAGAAAAACCCCTATAACGTGTTATCATTTTCTATTTATCTTGCTTCAGATACTAAAAGGCACATAAGTTTCAAATTTATTCTTTGCTCAACTTTGTTTATGTGGTTTAAAAGAATTATCATTTCTGTTTAATATTTAGCACTTCTTTTTTCAAAAAACACTATTTTCTGAATTCCTTTCTATGGTAAGGAATAAAGGACATCCCAACTTGACCATAAAATTCCTGCCTACACTAGAAGTTTGTTAACAGCTGCTAGCTGACTCGATCTTCCCCTCCTGAGAGGAGTACATATGAGAATGACCTATTTTCCTATACATTTCCACTCTACCCTGATGGATATTCAAAGTGGTGACGGTCTAATTTTTAAGTGTTTCTTCATTTTAGGTACAGCGTTTTAAAGAAATTGATACAGTCTCTTCTAATTCAGAAGCTAGTAATTGACCAAAACGTGAAGAGTGTATAGAATAGGAGAGTTTGGGAGTTAACCCAAAAGACACAATTTCAGCACACATAAGAAAGCTAGCTGCTATTTCATGCTTTCTTCAATGGTTCTCCTCTTTTTTCTTTTTCTTTTTTTTTTTTCCAGTTTTTCAAAGGTGTACAAAGTCCCGTACTTGCTTTTAAAAAGCCGTGTGGCGTTCACACTTGTTTTCTTAGATGGGTTTTGTGTGCAGATGCAGTAAGAATTCCTTTTTTATTCTAATAGTGTTTTCCAGAACCCTCCCTCCCCTTTGGTAACTTGATCTACATCTCCTAAAGTGACAAAGTAAAAAAAAAAAAACAAAAAAAAACTGGTATTTAGATCGTATACAACATAAATATCGTTTTTTCCTTGATTTTTATAAAAATTACATTTGACTTTGGAGACTGCAGGTTGACCCATGTAACTAGGTGACCCAATCGCTGTAATTTAACATCATTTATAAATTCTGCTGATGGACAGGAATGTATGAAGGCAATTATTGTCAGCACAAAGCCTTAAAACCTGCTGACTTTAAGTTAAACGGCGCGGTCCTATGATGCCTGCGTCATTCAGGAGACGTGGCCTCTTGCGGTGTGGACAGAGTGCAGTGGCCCGGGCTGGAACACCCTGGGCCTCACTCTGCACCCACAGCCAAACACATCGCCCAGCTCGCAGGCTCCTACACAGAGCCATGAGAGCCAATTTGTTCTTGTTCCGGCTTGTTTGGGAAAAAAAAAAAAAGTGTTTGGATACTCATCACATTGGAATAAAATGAACCCCCCCCCCAAAAAAATCCAATCAGCACAAAGTAGGGAAGCAATCTCAACTTGTGGTCACACTCTTTCGCCTTGCTTCACGCCCAAGAGTATGACATTCATTGTTCACATCAGCACAGAACTGGGTCTTTGCTGTTCCCGTGTAATTCACATCACCATTGTGTTGCCATTTGCAAGCTAAAAGGCAAAACCGTAATGTCTTCACCTATAAAGATAGATTGCTAGTATCTTCCTGACCTGGGGCAAATTCAGTATTGATTCCTGAGGTATTTGAATTTTTAGTATTATTCTCCCCTGCCTTTCTAATTGAAATAGACAAATTAAGCAAAAACGTGTGTTCACAACCAAATGCTGATGCACTTATCTACAATAATATCCTCTCAATGTTCACTGAGGCATAGAAATTGTTTCAGAGTAGAAATTGCAGCGTGAGGAGAAACTCACCTCATTGTCCTGGAAACAGAACTCAATCGTTTTGCTTTTAGGTGATTCTTTTCTCTTTCACCATCATAAAATCTTGTGCCTCCCAGTGCATTGGAAAATGACAAAAGCCTATCTCTCAAAACTCCTATTTAACAAGTTTTCTTTAAAACACCATCTTTCCAATCTTAGCTCAACTCTCACCAAGTAAAAATTGGCGACTTGGGAGAAAGTTCACTTTCTCTGGTGGGAGGGTGAAGGACTAGGGACAGTTTACATAGGGAAACAAAGTCTAAAGTCCATGTTGAAATACCACATTTCCACTTATTTTCTGCTAACCCTAAATTATTTTTGCATCTACACGTGAGGTTATAGTCTGTGCCTAGACCTAAATGCACCAGCGGGGGGATTTTTAAAAATCCTTCAAAATTCCAGTTTTTTCCCACAAGTACAATTGTTCTTGTGCCTTCTGTGGCTTTCGATTTCATCTTTTTGACTTTATTTCCAATTACTACAGCTGCAATAAACACTAGATTTTTTTTCTGGCTGTTTGACATAACGTTGATAGCTATGCATATTTTGTGTCTTTTTAAAACAAAGCAGGAGAATACGTTTTTGAAGAAGAGAATTTTTAGAACAGTTTGATACCGCAAATTATTTTTTCCTCAATTGTTTGAGCAGCATTCGAGTTTTGAAAATTCTTGTAGAAGCCAATTTTTTGTAACTGTGGTGCAAATCTTGTGTTTTCTTAGCCTAATGAAAAGTAGTATAGAAGCAATATTTCATACCATGTGCTATATATGTGTGTGCAGATGTGTGAACATAAAAACACATACACACATATACACACATGTAAAAATATACATATATATATGCGTGTGAAGTGGAAAGCTTACCTTTTCCTATCTAGATTTAAGGACCTATTTTAGGCATTTGTTATGTTTTGTGAAAAGAATGTTCTATTTGCAACAACAAAACATTTAATTCTTACTGTATCTCTGGCTGTTTAATGAGGACATTTCACTTTAAATGGTAAAACAACGTGGAAGATGGTAGAATGTAGTAATTATTTAAGGAAATGTTCACCCACATATTCCTGAAGTTTGCTTTGTGCCTCCAAGTATTATTTCATTAAAGTGTTTTATGTTTGCAGAATCTTTGTTGCTGTGCTAGGGATGTGGGTGAATATCATTTTAAAAAATTTTAAAAACAACAAAAAAAAGCAAAACAAAAACACTAAAGAAAGAGGGGAACTTTTATAAAGCAATGTAAATATTTAACCTCATGGCTGTTGTTACGTAAGACGTGAGATTTTAATAAATAACTACATTCTCACAACATCTGTTGAATTTATTAGGAACACTTCAGTGACTGTATAGACAGTTGAAAGCATTCTTGAAAATCCCGCTCTCTACTTTTAAAAGATAACAGTCTCTTTCATCAGATGTCAAGGGCAAGGGTAATGCAGTTTCTGTAAATTTATGAAATTTCTTTTCTACGTACATGAAGACATTTAGTACGTAACCTCCCTCCCCCCCCCCACACACATACATGCATACACATACAGGTTAATATTAAGTCATAAAGCGAAAGATCTGGGGGCTTTAAAAATAAGATGTCCCCCAGAAGCAATCATAAATTCATCAAAGAAAAAGTGGTTTACAGACTCCCCTGAAAGAAGCAGTGTACATGTGAGGACAGAGCAGAATCTCTTTGCCATGTATATTATAGAATCTTCATTGGTGTGAATAGTACAAATGTTTCGTTCTGGTACAAACTCTGTGTTTGCAAATTACAAGAAGCATTGTTTTCAAAAAGCTCCCCTTAAAAGAACGTAACTGGTTTCTGTGAGTAAAGCAGTTACTGTATTGCACTTACATGTGATGTTGAAGGAAATGCAGTTTTGTTTTCTGTAGATCTGTTGGTTGTAAACCATCCATAAGACTAAAGCTAAAATGCTCATATTCAGAGCTGGGATCAAAACTGGTATTTAACCTTTGCATCTTCTTATAATCATCCTTCTAAGAATATAACGGAATCTGGAAGCATCTGGACTTTGAGTCTTTTCAACTGAGCCCTCTCTCAAACCTGACACCCCCGAAAATGCACAGACATGAACAGAAAAGGCAAACAGACTGGCCCGCTTTTGTGAAAATGGCTTCATTCTTTATTTTTAAAATATTCAGATATTCTCCATAGGTGGGAAAAGCAGTTCAAAATTGTATATTACCACTTCAAAATTAGAATTAGAAAAGCAAATGTATTTGGGGTTGGTCTCAGCAATACCCAGAAAAATCAAAGGTCCTGGCTTCCCCCAATATTGTCCCAGCCATTTATCATATGTATATAGTATAAACCGTGACAAAACACTGCCTTTATATTATTTAGCAATATGTTGTAAATAGCATTATTAAGCTCTTTTTTTTGTAATAAAGACCCTTTGATTTGAATATAGTACAATAACTGAACTGATAAAGTCAATTTTTGATTTTTTTTTTTAGCTAGAGGCAATTTCAATTGTGGATTTTTGTTGTTGTCTATTGTTCTGAAGACTTTGCATAATTTATTGGTTTAATTTATCCTAATTTATTTGATGAAGGTGTACAATTTTGTATTACCAAGGATGTACTGTAATATTAATTGATATGATAAAAAAACAATGAGACTCCCTGTCCATATTAAAAAGTAAATAAAAAGGTGCAGTAGACAATTGATTTTAAAGTAAAAGTAAAAAGTTTAGTTTGGCAGCTACTAAATTTTAAAACAGGAAAAAAAAAATAGTTGTGGGGGGAAGGGTGGGAAGGGGGTTTTTCTTTGTGTGTTTAAGCTTTTGTATACTCTCCAAACTTTTACCTTTTGCTTTGTACCACTTAAAGGATACAGTAGTCCAATTGCCTTGTGTGCCTTCCATCTTCTCTTAAACTGAATGTATGTGCAGTATATATGCAAGCTTGTGCAAAATAAAATATACATTACAAGCTCAGTGCCGTTTGATTTTTTTTTAAACATGTGACATTTAATTTTTGGACCTGTGTCCAGTTATAGGACAGCAGGCTCGTTGTGACTGTAATATCAGTGATGGAGTTTTCCTTTCTCTCCCCACACTTGGCGCTTTATTTTATTTATTT